TCCCGGATACCAGTTTTGCAGTCGGTAAACACGTTTAAAAAAGTGATTAGCTAGAGGTGATCGAATATTAATCCAGTAGTAATTGCGTGTCGCGATCACAACATAGGCACGGCTCGCGTAAAGGAGTCACGATAGTGTCTCGCGCCTTAACACTAAGACACTACTGTGGCTCCAGATCATAAGAATCATATATAAAAATGCATAAAAATTTGCTGTTGAGACAATTAAAAAAATAACTGTAACAACTTAAATATTATTCAAAATTAAAGGGAATACATCACTAACGCAGAATTTTGAAATTATATTTTATTCTTGACGAATAAAGATAATAAACGTTTCAGCTTAGATCAAGTTTTCTTCAGTATACGAACAGTATCATCTAAAATAGAAAATCGAATAGTTGTTTACACAAAATGTTGCGCAGTCATATATATAAAAACGATTACCATAAATCCAAATCGAATGTTACAAAAAATTTGTTGGTCGCTACCGCTCGTTATTAATGATAAATTATTTCGACGAGATAATTTTCTTTGTTACATCCACGTCAAATTTTTGATCTTCAATTGTTTTATAAAAATATTATTAAAGATCTTCGATTCATGTTAGACGCAAAATTTCCAGATTCTATTTTATTTAAAAGTTTAATTATTAAATATCTTTTTAATCTTTGTTAAAATTATATGAAATTGTTTATACCTGCATCCAAGATCTCATTATCCAAGATCATGATCAAATCGTGAACTGAGAATGAATATTCCAAAATTGATTCTATTAAAATTACCTGTTAATATTCTTTAAGAGTTTTCACTTACCATATCTTATACCCTAGATAGAAAATAAAAAGAATCCAGGAGAGGGTAGAAATGATTCTACCTTCTTCTAAGAGAGAATAGGAATATTCATTACCGACAAATAAGCGTCTGGTTTTTCTGTGTCGCTCTGCTTATTAATTTGTTTTTTTATAAAAATTATTTCCGAAATAGATCTTTTGTAGAAAGAATAATCTAGAATTTGGATATTGCTCCAATCCATCTCATGTCCGTGATTCATTCTATGCTGCGACATTACTGACCAGGAATCAGATGTTTTTTTTTCATATCGGACATATGTTCTTTATTCTCGTTTTTAATTTTCTCTTCGTCTGTCCCACATAAGAGAAATCACACTTTAGTCAGCTTATTTTATATATGACATCCTTTCGGTCCATCTTATCTAGTTTATCTATACCTGTTTTTATAACATCCACAATTCATTGGTTTAAATGACGCCTCAAACCCCGCAACATTTTTTTGGATACATTTTTTAATTTATCTGATATCCCGCTCATGTATGGAATTGTAAAAAATTTGTTTGCTATGACTTTCCTGGATTTATTATTGTAAACTTTGTCATGCCCATATAAGTTATCCCTCCTTAATAATGTTTTAATTCTATTTTTAACAATCGAAAAAATCACATCTAACAATTTTTAAGTAAATTCTTAATCATTAGTTTTATATTTTTTCGATGATCTGGATGTAAGAGAAACAGAATTCTAATTGCTCAATATGACTCCTCTCTTGTGATCTCATGATTTGATTTATAATTTAGATACTTTCTTGAAGGTATGTTATTAAAAGATTTTTTATAAATATCAAATTTAATGAATCCATTCTCTGTTTTCAACTTAATCCAAGAAATTTATGCATCCACATTCTGTTCAACTGTAAATTTTATTCTATCATGATACGAGTTAAATTTTTCCAAGGTCGAACTCATCTGATCTTTTGGAGGAGCAAGTAAGATATCACCCACTATAATAAAACCGGGATGTGAACGTGGATGTGTGCAAAAATCTCTAAGTCCTGAATAACTCATTTCCTATTCCCTTTTAGAATTTCTATCCCCTTCTGGATTCTTTGCCTTTGCCTAGGGTTTATAAGTGAGAACTCTTAAAGAATATTAACAGACAACTTTAATAGAGTCAATTTTGGAATATCCTCAGTTTACGATTTGGTCAGATAATGGGATTCTGGACGCAGGTATGATGCCCCACAGTGAGGCAAATAGTTACAATTTACCTACTGATAGGAAATATTAATTTTCAATATTTAAAGACAATTAATTTTCAATATTTAGATACAATTGCCCAGAGTGGGATAAGCATTAGGTATACAACTTTGCTTCCGCCGTTTTCCTATAGATGGCTTTAGCGGTAAGTGATGGTCGAAATAAATAGATCATAAACGTCATACAATAAACTTGGGCATCTGTCAACATAACCCCATAGAAACATTAGTCGATTTATGTCTGCATCATAAAGTTATTCTCGATTGAAAATGTCAGTTTACGAGCCAAATTCTCGTCATTTGCGGAAGGTTTTAATTTTTTGCTTCAATATGAAGAAATGCGGCTGAGGGTCATCGAATGCTTTCAAATATTTATGGTGAGGCCGCTATTAGTGAAAGAACGTGTCCTGAGTGATTTCAACGCTTCAAGTGATTTTGATCCAAGGTCATGCTCTGTATTTGGTGGGACCAGCTCGGCGTAGTGTATTATGAACTGTTAAAACCGACTGAAACAATCACAGGCGATCGGTATCGAACGCAATTGATGCGTTTGAGCCGAGCATTGAAAGACAAACG